GAAGTGAGCAAGCCCATCAAAACACGAACCCAAAGTAAATGGGCCAGAAAAAACATAAGAAAAGGCCATGACCCAGACAAACAAGTCATTGGCCCAATAGCATCATAGCATCAACCTGGTAATTGTTTACCACAAAGGCTCAAGGAAGACCTAGAGCAAGGATCATCCAGCCGCAGAGGAGGAGGAGGGCGACAGGTGGCGGTAATTGGATCGTTTTCCCATTCAAAAATAAACAATATATCCACCTAAGAAATTGAAAGGAATTGATTTGGACCGAAGAAAAAGTAGGGTTGTAAGTTGGGCTGGTCCAACCCAGCTCAGGCCTAATCCAACTTTAACCCGAATTGAGTTGGATTGGCCAGCTTGAATTGTACCCAATATGAGTTGTGGTCATAACCCGAACCGAATATTTTCGGTCGGGTTGACGGGTTGAGTTTATATATATATATATATATATATTTTTGGAAATGCATATATATTATATATTATATATTATATATGTATATTATATATATTTGATTATATTATTATTAAAAATATATATTTTTAGGGCAAATCATTTCAGCCTCCCCAATCGCCTCCCCCCCGTGCAACTGCAAATTACAAAATCAACAAGAATCAGAAGTTCAAAACCCATATATTTCAGTTTATCTATCTGTCTGCAAGAATCAAAAGTTGAAAACCTATTTCCTATATCAAAACCCCATATTGGCATATCATTTTAGATTGTTCAAAAAATCAAAACCCGTATCTTTTAGTTTCCATCGCCCGCTGTTCCAGTTCGGGTTCGCCATTTGCAAGCTTTAGCCGCTATCTCTCAACTCTCAAGCTTGCCCCCCTCTCTCTCTCTCTCTCTCTACAACTGCTAACTTGTATGTATGGCGGTAGAGAGAGAGAGGAGAAAAAAAAAAAAAAAAAAAATTAAATTTTTTTTTTTTGGGTTTTGGGTTGGGTTCGGGTTGGGTTTTGACAAAATTCAACTCAAACATGAACCCAATTTGTGAATTTTAAACCTCCAATTTTAAAATTTCTAAGTTAGGGTTGGGCTGGGCTGGGTTAGCTCTTCTAAGTTACAGCCCTAAGAAAAAGTATGGAAATGCATTTAGGTTACAGTCTCTTAATCTTTGAACGATTCAGTGTAAGTTTAATCTGGAAATCTATGGACGGTGATGGTTTTGTAGTTAGTCTACCCTTTCCCATTTTTGATATTCCCAATTTGAACAGAGGCCAGTGACTTGATCATGCATTGTACACCATGGGAAAGTGCCACGAGCCCTTCTTTAAATTAACAAAAATTTTGAAGAACGATATTATCATGTTGTTAGTATTTAAATGGTCATATAAAATTACATTAAAATATACTAGTTAGTCAAATGTGCTTTATTGTAGTGAATTTTGAAACAAAATCTTTAATGTTTAATTGTCATATTGTTTAATTCCTTTCAAATGATCAAGTCATTCTCTAAAAATTTGTAAATGATCAAGGTGAACAAATGGGTTTAAATTCGATCCTTTTAGTGAAGCTGAGGTTTTGAAACTATGCATCTAGTACCTTAATTTGGATCCTTGTCTATTGTAATTCATACGATAGTACAAAAAAAAAGGGGCTACACTTCTTAGTAGATGTACATCATTTGGCATATCTCAATCTTTGTCTATTATCTAATAATTTAATTTTAAATTTGATCAAATGGACATGGTACATCATATGGCAATTCTCAATCTTTTCTGGATGATGATGGCGTAGCAAATTCATTATATATATATATATATATATATATATATATAAACAAATTTAAAAAATTGTGGAGCAAAATTTAATGAAGGTTACATGAAAATGATTTATGAAAAATGCTTTCATTTGATGAAATTTTTTACTTCTTTTACCGACTTGGGGTTGAAATAGAATCTAAGAATTGGCATACGGATTCATTCCGAATCTTTTTACTCTTATGTTACGTTTCGTGTGTATGAAATAAAATGCAAGTGAGAATGGAATGAGAATGGGAATAGAATGAAATGATACTAACTATTTTTGTATTTGGTTGGACCAATTTTAAATTTTAAATAGAATGAATTTAAATTAAATGATCCAAAATAACCCTCTTAGTGACAAATAAAATAAATTAACAACATAACATTCTTCTATAATTTTTTAAAAAGAAATGGTGGTGTTGGCAGTGAAGATGGTGTTGAAGGTGAAAGTGATAATGGTATCCTTTGATAAAATTACGTGTATTGCACCATTATCTGCATATCACCCTTCCAATTAGAAAAGTTCACCTTTCTATTTGGAAACTTTCTCTTTCATTGTGATCGGCTACGATAACCTTTTCAACTGGATATGGCCGATAGTTATGGTATAAATAGTACTTTTATAATATTTGAGTGTGGCTTTGCAAATACTTGAGTTGAAAAAATCTTGAAGAGTATTCTTGTACTTGGGAATTGAGAGTGCGAATTTTCAAAATTTATGCGTCAATTTGGGGTAATGGGCTTGGAGTCTTGGACTGTTATGGTGAAACAAAATTGAAATGGAGCTTAAATGCATTCTATTACACACCATTAATTTATTGCTAACCTTAATTCAATAGAAGTTTAAGAATACAGATATTCTATGCATACATGTCGTTTAAATATAATATCTAACTTATTCATTTACTGCAGCAAGGTAAAAACATGAGAATTAAGAGAGAAAATTTGAACTTGAAATGAATATATATGCGAATAAATAGTTCTTCACAATTACTAAATGTTCAATTAAGGGAAAACATGGTCATAAATATGGTAAAAGACGAGTTATTTAAATGCATGAATAAAAGCGAATGTATAAAAAGTTGGCATCAAATGACATAAATTGAGGGGTGGGGTAGCCATACAATGGAAATTATGGATGGTTTGATTAATAATGTCTTCATTCACTAGTAAGATCTACTTAATATCTATAAGACCATCTCCAATGTTAAAAGCTATTTTCACATGCCAAATACATATTTTAACAAATGCTACAGTGTCAAAATGTTATATTTTAACAATTCCACTGATGCATTTCATGCAAAATGTTATTTTTTTACACAACCACCATTCTTTTTCAACTATCATTCCCACCATTCATATTTGCATCAGTAAAATTAATATTAGGCACATTCCAAGTCAAGTTGTAGACATTAGAAGGAAATTAAAATTAAACCTAATTAAAAAGAAGCAAAAATCTAAAATATCTAGTCAAAAAAGACCAAAAACAAAAAAAAAAAAAAAAAAAAAAAAAAAAAAAAAAAAAAAAACAAAACAAAACAAATTTTTTATAATTTTTTTACCACTATTTGTGAATTAATTTTTTTATATAATTTCTTTTTTTTTCGAAAATTTATATTATATATATATATAATATATTTGATTATATTATTATTAAAAATATATATATTTTTAGGGCAAATCATTTCAGCCTCCCCAATCACCTCCATCTCTATTCTCGTTCTCAACTCTGAAATTGCCCCCTCTCTGTACAACTGCAAACTACCAAATCAACAAGAATCAGAAGTTCAAAACCCAAGTCAGAAGAAAAACCAAAGTCAGGCCAGCTTCGCAAGGGAAGGTTACCGAGGACGTGAGAAGGAACGGTGACGTATGATTGGAGGAGACGAAGATCTGATCGAATGGCCAGGAACCGTCAAGATCGAGATCGAGGTATATCAATAACCCTTTTTTCGTCATCGATTTTCTTCCTTTGGTTCAGATCGGATGATTTTCCCTTAACTTTTCTCTCTCTACATTGCAACAGACAAGGAGAGAGAGAGAGAGAGATGCGAGTGGGTGATGATTTTAGATTGTGATTCCACAGATAAATAGTATTGGGAAATGAGAGACTTGCAAAAAAAAATTTGGCAGCTGCTATGTGTGAGAGGAAATTTGAGAGGCTAAATAAGAGCTCATTGGAGAGGTCTTTTTTTACCCAACTCTCAAATTTTGAGTTTGAGAGGCCCAAATGAGAGAGCATTGGAGTTGCTGAGTATACTATGCAGCAATCTACATTCAGAATGACAACGTTTGGCCAACATTATATATATTTTGCAATCCCGACTGCATTTCTTTACTTCTGATCTATTATTGCTTAAGTGTACAAGAAATATGAGAAAAAAGAGACCACAAATGTCTATAAATTTCAATTGGTTTTTCAGATGACTAAAAAAAGAAAAAAAAAAAAAAACATAGGAACCTTATCGTGGAGAAAAGTTTTTGAGGATAGTTTCGATATTTATTATCAATTTTAAGAACATAGCTGAGGTTGAAAGCAAATTTGGACAGCTTCTAAATGGCAGAACTCCAGTCATTTTTTTTTTTTTTTTTTTTTAAACAAGTTGTGTATATATATATATATATATATATATGAACAGAGTACATTATTTTCAGCTTCGACTGAGAGAAGTGAGCAAGCCCACCAAAACACGAACCCAAAGTAAATGGGCCAGGAAAAACATAAGAAAGGGCCATGACCGAGGAGGGCGAGGTAATTGGATAGTTTTCCTACTAAAAAATAAACAATATATCCACCTAAGAAATTGAAAGGTATTGATTTGGACGGAAGAAAAAGTATGAAAAGGCATTTAGATAAGAGTGTCCTAATCTTTGAACGGTTCAGTGAAATTGTGATATTCCCAAATTGAATAGAGGCCACTGACTTGATCATGCATTGTACCCCATGGGGAAAGTGTCATGAGCACTTCTTTAAATTAAAAAATTTTGAATAGAAAAAATTGCAAGTGATGAACGATGTTAGCATGTTGTTCGTATTTAAATGGTCAATTCCCATGCATGATTGAAAAATCTAAACATGAACACTACTGGATACAATCAAGAGGATCATTAAATGGTGGACCGAATGCTTCCCATCCACATTGGTCCCACATAAATTCAACCATCAGTGCTGGTTACAATCAAGAGGATCATTAAATAGGCAGACGTCGCACACATATATAATCATGAAGATACATACATTCAAATTAAAATTCTACCCCTCGTTTGTTGGACAGCTTGAGAAAGCAGTCAAGAACAAAATAAAAGCAAGCTTCCACGATATGAAACCATGCTCGTCTCCAATAAGGATCTATGCACAGAACTGCAATAACTCCTAACAACGCAATTATGAAAGAGACCATGAAAGTCACATAGAAAACACCAAAATCCATAAAACCTTCCTCTTCTGAAGAGTACTGATGAGGCAATGTCGATGGCGGTTCTATTTTAGTGCAAGTGTTATGTATTGGAGGTCCACAAAGAAGAGGATTTCCCTCGTAACTGCTTTTTTCAAAGGTTGAAAACTGTGCCTTTTGGTCCGGAGTCCTACCTGATAAGTTGTTGTGAGACACACTGAAGACTGCCAAAGAATTCAACTCAATGAGTTGAGAGGGAATTGTTCCGTTCAAGTTATTGTACGAAAGATCCAAACTCTCCACTTGCTTTAACGTTGAGAAATTAAGTTGCTGGGATTGAACCAATGCGATTGTTATGCGACAGGTTTAGTGCATGGATTTCACTTAGATATCCAATGACAGATGGGATTTCCCCTGCTAAGAGGTTGCGAGAGAGATCCAATCCTGACATGTAGTCAAGTATATCACCGCTGTATGCATACAATTTACTCTTTGTGGTGAACTCCACAACTTGTGTCACAACCATCATTGCGTCGTCGTGCTGGTCATGAAATTCAAGAAAATTATGCATCCCATATAATCTTGTCTCCCCAACGTAGTACCAAAAATTTGTTTTCCATCCCATAAGAAGAAAACTTTATGAGATTAAGGATTTTGTAACCATTGCCTCAGAAGGTATGTCACTAAAACTATTAGTTATGGAACCAGAAAGATTGTTTCCAGAAAGATCCAGTATAGATAACCCTTCCAAGTGGCACAATTGAACAGGAATTTCACCCTCCAAACTATTAGATTTGAGGAGAAGAATACTCAATGAGGAAAGTTTGCCAATATAACTTGGAATGTAACCAGTTAGGTTATTGTGTCTAAGATCTAACGTTACCAAAGAAGAACAGCGGTCAAATGCATTTGTCAATGAGCCGCTTAGCTTCTTGTGATTCAGACGTACATGTTGTATTTCTGAAGAGTTGAAGCAAGATGGTATTGGTCCAGACAAATTATTATTGGAAAGATCTAACAGAGACAATTGATCAAGTTGGCAGAATTCTACAGGAACTGGACCTTGGAAATGATTTTTGGACATGACAAGTACCTTTAAACCAAGCAGAATATTCCCAATCCATATTGGAAGATGACCAGACATGTCGTTATTGCTAATGTCTAATGTTGTCAAAAGCGATGCGGTAGACAAGCTATCTGGAATCTTTCTTTCAAAATGTTTATTGTCCAAATATAAAAATTCCAAGCTAGTTAGGTTCACAACATCAGGAAGCATCCGACCATCCAAATTATTGTTGGATAGTTTGAGGAACATTAAGGAGGAGCAACCAATTGCAAAATGTTGAGGTATTTGTCCCGACAAATAATTGTTAGACAAGTTTAAACTCCATAAAGAATGCAGATCACCTAATGAAGCCGGAATCCTACCTTCCAATTCATTTCTGGACAAGTTTAAATAACTTAAACGGGGAAAGATGGAACCTATATTTATTGGCAGTTGACCATGAATATGATTGTCAGAGATATCAATCGAGTTTATGTAAGGAGAAGAAGTCAAAAATGGGAAAGGCTCTGAGAAGGAGTTATTTCTTAGATTAAGAGAACCCAATTGTGTATTGTTTGCTAACAACCAAGAGAGAAAAAATAATGTCCCACCTGCAACGACCCTAAACTGATGCCAATAAAAAAAAAAAAGAAAAAAAATTCCGCATGACCTCTGTTAAAAAGGGTCATACGCCAACCTTCTTAAATGCATAAAATTGCAATGGCCTCTTTTGGATCTTCAAAATTTATCTAATCTGTACCGGCACACAATGCAAATAATATAAAACATTCCCAAAACAATAAAATTAACAACCTCCTCAAAATAGCCCATCATCATCAACCCATTCATCCAGAATAAAGGAGTACTTGTCTTATACATAGTTCCATGCTCACATACTAGAATTTTACTCCAATTACATCTACTTACAGTCCATGAATATAATTACAATAAAAAAGAGTCCATAAGTCTTCGTACAGAATACAATATACTAAGTTTTACAAAAAAAAAAATATATATATATATATATATATATATATAGTGAGACTTGGATACAAAAATAGCATAATGATCTTCTAATCCAAATTAGGTATGTGATGGAACGTCATCTGTCACTTCTTTCCCATGTTCTGAAAAATGTTAAAATAATAGGGTGAGCATAAAGCAGTGGTGCCTAAGACACACCTCTTGTGACCCTGTGAATCCAAACAATTAATAGAAATAGGAAACGGGGTCATACTATGCCAGGAAGGAATACAACATTAATTCCAATTCCAAAATAACAATGACGTGCCATGATATGTGATGCCATGAATGTCGCTCCCCATTTCAAAATCCAAATCCATCACTTTTCAAACTGTTAATATAAACCATCCGTTGGTGACTCCGCGGCGACACAAGAGAAGGATTGGCTATTGTCCCTGACCGTTGGTACCTCCGCGGCGTCATTTGGGGCCAGATAACTCAACCACGCTATGGCGATCTCCCTAATTCCCTGTAGGTTATATTAACACCACAGTCTTTTGGTAGCTCCGCGGCGACCGGGTTTTCATAAAAATCACTTTAATCAAAACTTTGTCCCAAAATCCCTTTTTCCTTTCAAAACAATTTTTACCTTTTCATGCCCAATGCTATGCATGAATGTCTCATATATCTCAATGTTATACAAATAAAGAAATTCATGCTCATCAAATTATTATTCAATAATATACATGCTTTACAACATAAAATTTTCTAAAAATTATATTTCATGTTTTCTAAACACCAAACTAGCACTAAAGGCACAAAGGACTTAAATTAATCAACAATTAACATGTTTCATGAGAAATTTATTTATTTATTTTATAATTCATGTTTTATCATCACATAAATATAACAATTTAATACCAAGGCATGAAAATTCATCAATTAAGTATGCTTTCATTATCATATATCACATAAAACATAGTCATACCTTTTCACATAGCAAGTAAATAAATTTACATGAAATTTCACAATTTAAGCATGTTAAAACACAAATTTTTTTGAAATTAACTCACAAAAACCCAAGAATATATGGATTAGAGACTCCTACCTCAATCTAAGCAAAAACCCACAATTTTGTGCCATAGATCCCGAAATTCCCAAATGCACCAAATTAGAAATTGCTCCAATACCAAATAATGAAGGAGAAATCAAGATTTAAAGCTTCATTTGAAATGAAAAAGAAAACGTGAGATAGGAATTGAGAGAGAGACTTACGAGAGTGAGAGGAAGAGAAGTGAGAAATGTGAGATCAAAATGATCTCTTTTAGCCATAAAATATGTGAGTGGTGGATCCCACCACCAAAATTTTTATTTTATTTTCTTTTTAACCTTTATTAAATCATTTTAATACATAAACCACACATACATATATAACCCACATAAAATCTAACAATTAAAATGCATGAGATGCAAATGGGCCCAACCAAAATCCCCGTATGCAATAATTCCGGTAGCGGGTCCCACACGGAACCGTCCGGCCCGAAAAACGAAAAAAATGCAAAAATGGTTACCCTTGCATTTCAAAGAGTCCTGGACTCAATGAAATGCTCCAAACAACTCTTGGACACAACCGCCACACTTTGCAGTGCCCGGTACATAAAACGGTAAAAGACGAGAATGCCCATGCTGCGACAAAATTTCCAAAAAAGGAAAAATGGCAAAAATTTGAAAATATTACAATCTACCTTCCTTAAAGAGATTTCGTCCCAGAAATCTACCCTCCTTATAAAGAAGGCCCACAGCCATACACTCTCCTCCAAGAACACCTCACAAAACATCAAGACTATGAACCCACTGACATTATTGCCTTTAATACCGGACGTCACCGAGTAATCATACATCATTGCCACTAAAACCCTATGTGGTTACCCATCTCTCCATTCATCATAACACAAGACCAACTAGACCTTATGCCTGACTCAAAACGGACAGCAGTCTACTCTACACAGTCACAAAAGGCTCTAAATCCCGAGAAAATGATGGTTATCAGACCACCAAAAAAGACAACATCTAACCTCAACACATCCTTCAAAGGACACACCAAACCCCAAACAAGAAATCATGTCTATCTCTCGATCAATCTCAACTCTAACCTACACATTCCTGGCAAACCAAACACTTGTTATCTAGTACGTAGCTACACCACCACATAACCATACCAACAACTACAAATCACACTATATAACAATCATTGTACTTCACAACTTCAAGATGATTAAATAATGAGTCCCCCAATAGCTACATAAACATTAGTCACCAAATTAGTAAAGCGCACCATCCTGTACCCAGGACACAAATCATAAAAACAATAACTTCAATAATCAATGATCGTACTACAAACCCTTTATCGGACACTTGGTGCTACCTAACACGTCATCACCCGAGATCAACCACCTGAATTCACACTATTACACCGACACAACACCCAAAACCATACTCTCACTGTTCATGACAAACTAAAACAATCATTGACCCTTAACCCGACATCATGCTAAAGAGGGACTGATTCAAGAGAAATGGTTGGCTAGGCCATTCTCATCATCGATCCAATTTCAACACAGACATCATTCCTATCTTCAGGTCTAAACCTCAAACACAACCCTACACAGTCCACAAAACAACCACGAGATCCACTCTCTAATCAATCCATCGCTCTACATAACCTCAATAATTATACAATCATATAACAACATGCTAAAAGCAACACGACAATCTGTAACGACCCTCACCCTGGCCAGACACAATATTGTCCGCTTTTGGCTCACCCAGACCAGAGACTTCCCAGGAGGTCACCCATCCTGGTACTATTCCAAGTTAAGCACGCTTAACTACAAAATTCTGATAGGTTCACGGCCATCACGGCTTTAAAACGCGTTGTGCCATAGAAGGGTGTTGAATCTACATATAGCACTTGCCCCATCCACACCCAGACGATGTGGGATTGTGCACCTATAGCTCGTCCAGTGTAGTAGCCTACTGGTGCCCCCTGCACACGCTCACACACACCCGCCCACAAGGTCGCCACACAATCATTCCTCGATCACACAATCATAACAAGCTAAAAGTAACACGACACCAAACGTCACGATCATAACAAGCTAAAAGCAACACGACACAAAATGTCACAATCATCGATCAGGACTAACGATCCCTAATTTCCTCATAACATCCACACCAGGTAAACAATTCCATGACATCATTCGGTTCAATTCTTACTTCTTCAAAACACATAATACAACTGTCTCATACCTAAAATCTCAAAACCAAAGTCCATTATTCCTATTATTCCTCAATAGAATCACACATTCACTTTCTCTAATTGTAATACCCTTAATTTTAAAATGATAGTCTCGGCATTTTTATTTTTATTTTTATTTTTGTTGTTTTTATTCTGGCATTTTTATTTGATTCTTTGCTTATTTGCCTAATTGTTTTAATTGTTATTATTTAATTGAGTGTTGGTTTAATTATTTTTTTTATTAATGTATGCTTATGTGGAAAATGAATAAATTGTCTTGTTTATTTTATTTACATTGATTAGTTGGTTTAATTAAATTAGTTTTAATTGTTTTAGTTGTTTAACTATGGTTTTGTTCTCTTTTAGGTGTCACGTTTTTAATATAGCTGATTTAGATATAGAATTAATTGTATTTTCCCGTCTCTAAGTTATATTAGAATTAGGGTTTCTGTTCTTCTTAAGTTTCTAAGTTAAATAAGAATTAGGGTTTCTATTCTTCTTAAGCCTATAAAAAGAATAGTAAGTCTGCCAAGGGGGTTTTGAGAACCCTATTCACGTATTGGAGGCAGAGTGAAACAGAGAGAGACGTGAGAAAAACAGAAGGGAAAACTAGGGTTTGGCAAAGGGGTGTTGTTCGTGGGTTGAACCAAGGAAGAACAACAAGGAGTTAGAATGGTGAAGTATCGCCGGAGAATTTAGGAAGACGACGTTGATGTTTTGAACCGAAATTAAAAAAAAAAAAAACAAGTTTTATTCCTAACTCTCTCCCTTTGACTCGTGTTCTTTACATGTCTAACACGATTCCAGGAATAAATAAATATTAAAATTAATCTGGTCTGCATGTATGAGATGTTTTAAACAGTACGTGTTCACAAATTGTTTATTGCTCGTCTTAAATTCTTTCTTGCATAATTCATGATTTAACTGATATCGATTAATGAACAAAGAATTTAATTAGTTCTGGAATACATTGGGAAACATTAAAATTAATCTGGGTTGCATGTTTGATTTGTTTTAAACAGTGTGTGTTCATGAACTGTTAATTGCTCGTTATAAATTCTTCTTGCATGATTCATGTTTAATTGATGTCAATTAATGAATAATGAATTTAATTAAGTCTGGAACACATTGGGACCTAGTTTAGACACCTAGGAACCTTAGGAATGGAGGACAGTTCATCGTAGAGTCACCGGACTTGAAGGAGATAAAGAAACAGGAGGAGAACAGACTCCCGTTTAAAGGGAGCAAGCCCCCCTAAGCAAAGAGCAGGCTTCCTCAAGGAGGGAGCTGGCTCTAGGGCCTTTGGAGGTGGCTCCATCAAGGAGAGAGCCGGCTCCATGATCTAGGGAGGCGGCTCCCTCAATTT